TATGTTTTGAAGGTGATCTCACATGAGTTTTAGTCGTTTTGTACGCGGATCACGTGAGATTCACCCGTGGCGCTCCCTATAGGAAAGTCCTACCACGACTCTCTGATGCTCAGCACAGTAAACACTAACTGTTTGGTAGCATGTAGCCAACCGCAACACAAATAGTCTAGCTACCGCTTCCTCCTCAGCCTCGCCGACCCCGATCCTCTCTCCCACTCTCCTTCTGATCCCTACTTCTACCTTTCTTTCTCTAGACTCACTCCTCCTTCTACAAGCCCTACTCTCTCTGTCTACAGGACACACCACCGTTTCTGCGTCCCTCTCACCCTCGCCCACCGCTTCTCCGTCATCTCCTTCTCCTTATACGAGACTATCTAGTGCCTTCGTAGAACTCATAGTCAGCCACTAGTATCATTACTGACTCTGTTCCTGCTGTTTTCTTTCACAATTTGTTCATACATGTGTATCTGATGTGATGGTTATTAGAGTTTGCACCTGAGTCCAAAAGCACCTGTGACAATATAAAAATTTGTAGCTAGTTGCAAGACAAACATTTTGAAGGTTTGTCTGAGTTCTTACCAAAAATATCAGCAAAAACACAGAGAGCTCCAATACACAGACCACCGAGTGTAGCAGCCGTAGGAATGTATTGATTGAGAGATTTGTGCAGGTTTTGATGACCTCGCAGCACCATATTTTGCTTGTCCATCAACTGCTTGGCTACCTGCATATATATGATTGTGACACCACACAACAAAGGACATGTCAAATTATACGTACATTATCAGCAGAGGTTCCAGACATATTAATCGATATTCTGGAGATGAAAGCACATGGTACAGAGCATAAAAGTGCCATAAATAATGGCACGTATGGGCTCATCAATAATAACACTGCCAGGGTGGCTCCCTATTGCGCTAAGGTAGTAGCAGAGACCGCTAGAAGGGTAATATCCACTTCTGTACTCCAGAAAAAACAATCTAGAGGGCTGGGTATCCTCTACTGTAGACCACACTCCCAGCAAGTCAACCAGCAGATTGCCTCCAAATATAAGGTAAAAAATCTGTAAAAAATGGATTACTTTGTGTACTGACAATCGTACTACTTTGGGATAACCTGTGATGCTTGGTAGAGGTAGAGAACCAAAACACGGTGAATGATTACAGGTGTGATGCCTGTATAGAGAAGCTTAATGGAATATTTGCTGCATTGGCCACGGTAGCGGGCACTCTTGATGGGTAGCTCAACTCGAAAACCCTGCAGCACCACACAAAAGTTCTTGTCCTATACTTATATATCTAAATACCTTTACCTGGAGGTATATGACAGTAGCAAACACTAAAACAGTTGCAGTCAGGTTTAGCAGATTTGGTAGATTGTGTCGGAATAGTACTTTGTAAAGAGCTTGAAATTTGTCAGAGTGAGAAGCCAGCATGTGTAAAAATGCAATGATCACTCCTTCAAACTCCCTTCCTCCATCTGCAGATGCATTTAATTGAACTGACTGATAGGTAGCTAACACACTTATCTGACAATTTAAACCCTCTGACAATATCAAGGAAGTGTGCTTAAGAAGAGTATTAACTCTGCCATACACTGGCTGCTAGAGAACACAAGTTTCAATTAGTTATTGGCGAGCAGAAGCGAGCCAACCTAGTCCTTCCTAGCGGATTTTTCTCGTCCGTTCGTACGTCGTGTAAGTGCGCATGCGCGGCTTCGCTACGCGCTTAAATCCGCACGCTGCCTCGCGATATGAGCCGATGGATCTATATAGTCCTCGGTGTGCGATTCTAGCCTGCCAGAGAACTCTCCTCCATTCGACGGAATTCTATGCAATCTTCGGTGACTATAACCGAGACTGTATGTTATAGCCTTGCGCGTCCTAATCCTCATGGTTCGACTGTGACCACAAGCTAGGATTGCACTCGTGCCGATAGCTTCGTCATGCGTGGACCACGACTGAAGAGCTGAAAGCATAAGGTAAGTACCGTTCTGCTCACCTGCTCACCGTTCAGACAGTATACAGTACGTATGTAACGGCGACAGGTAGATCTGTCTTGCTTCACGAAAGGAGTGCGCTGACGGCACGTTATGCAGCCCGAAGCGAACAAGCCGCGGCACATCCCAAGTTGGGCCACTCCCGCTCGCCAACAATGATCAACATTTCCACTAGTAATATAGCCTCCCTGGAACTCATAAAAAATACTTAGCTGACTATACTGGCTGGTGAGAATAGCGTTTAGAGGGCAAGGCTTCTGTTTGTGCATTATTGGAAGTAGCTACACATGATAGTCAGGTTTGTCCATTATTCAGAGGTTTTGTCCTTGTCTCGGAGGTAAAAATGTATTGAGTATGGTTATCGGCAGGGGGCAGGCAGTTTGTCCATTGTAGGGCGGTTGTCCTCCCTTCAGAGTGTCCATTATCGGAGGTTCCACTGTATAGATGTATGGGGCTGTGATAGGGAGTTTTGGCATGTACTTTGTAGTTGTGCATGGCTTTGCTGTATAACCATCCCTCGTTTATCCTCTGAATCATACTTATACTCGACTTGAAATAATTTTTTACCTGTCACAATAACAAGTCACAAGTCACAAGTGCTTACCAGTGTTGATAGTGACAGGACTGAAGGCCTTCCAAAATACAGTCCCACAGATGTTGGTGACAATAAAGATATCAGAGGAACCCATACCATACTTCTCTAGTAGCTCATTCAACATCATCACCATCAGTCCAGCTCCACACAACTAAGGAGACCAGTATTGTCACTGACTGCTATATATATATACATCAACACATTGTACTTACTTGCAGGATGATGATTAGAGAGGTAAAAATCCCCAGTTCAGAGGGAGTTCCGTACATTCCAGACATCAAGCAATAAACGGACTGGCAAAGTGTAACCACCATACACAGCACTGTCAATGATGCAGAGAATAAGGAGGACAGCTATATACCTTAAACTATACTCCTTACACTTTTTGTGGGGTTTCCTTTCCATTATATTAAAATAACCCAGTAAATAATAGGTAGCGATTGAGATACTCCCAACTCCATCAGAGTGCCTGACTGGAAGCATTCACTGTTTCGATGCCAGTAATATGGGTCAGCACTATTTGACTGACATTATCCCAAGCAGGTATCTACAAAATGCACAGTTTTGAGTAAGGAACATGCATGAAGGATATATTTTTTGTTAACAGGGATTATAAGAAGGTTATGATTCGAGTGAAACACTGTAATCACAATTTACACGAGAGAGCACAGAGATAGGGCAGTGATAATAAGAAATAAGGCCTCATGAGAAACACATTGGTAATGAAAAGTATGACAGCAGTCCATATAAGCTTCTCTCCAAAAGAACCTAAGGAAAGAGAGGTTGAGTAAACTACATATGAGTATGTATACATACACACTTCTTTCTGGCGCCGACACTTCAGAGAGTAAACGCAGCAGAAGGAGAAAGTAAAATTCCACACAAATGAATTTTCTCCAAAACTGCAACGTATAGCGATTAACATACACACCTATCATATACCCATTGCACGAGTATGCACAGCAATGAAATGTGATTAATAAACAAGCAAAATACTTTGGATAGCTAGCAGACTCTTCCTAATTACCTCAGAATGAACACTTTCGCAAAATACCCCTCGGTTGTATATAATAATAATATCCAACATGGAAACACACTGAAGCCTATCTACACTATAAACTCATTGTCCTTACATGACTGAACTTGACCTTTCATTGCAGTTCCTGTGTCACAGAAGGTAACATAAAAATATTTTTTACTACTGAAAAGCACTGTGCACAAGTGCAAACCCTCGGCGCATTACGCATGCGCGGTACCAAATAAATGAAAAGCACTGAAGTGCAAACCCTCGGCGCACTGTGACGCGCACGCGTAAGTAAACGCATGCGCCGTACACTAATTGGTGGGCTGGGTTTAGTTTTAGCTGTTACTCGCGGTCTCTTGCCAGCTCGCGCAGAGTCTGACGCGGGCTAACTACACTACTAGATAGCATGGGAGAGGCGATACACGCCCTGCGTTGCATCTTCTGCATACTTGCCAACCATGTAAATTCATTTTACTGGACACTTTGTTCAGAAATGCAGGACATGAAGAAAAATTGCAGGACAGAAACACTACATCAATTATTTAATATGCACACACTTAAAATTAGGACTGTTTTGCATCTTCTCTTGTTTGTAGACTTCTTTGTGTTGCTCCCTTTCCCCAGTTTCCCTAACATTATCGCTGCTAATAGCAAAAGGACAAAGGTCAAGTCTCTCCACATCGTACGCATGCGCAGCTAGCTATATAGAAACTCCCTGCGCCCGCATGCAGTGACGCGGGGCCGTATGGCACACACCGTAACAAAAACCCTAAACATTATATATTACCTACAGGTAATACCTTGGGGATTATTGTTACGGATCGCGTGCCATACGGACGCGGGACAATAAGGCTCTGCTGCGGGACAGCGGGACGCCACTGTTTTTTGCGGGACAGTCCCGCGGAATGTGGAACGGTTGGCAAGTATGCTTCTGGTGCCTCCGAGGTACGCAAAGCACGCGGATCGATCCGACTTTGGTAAGCCATCCAGTCCGTTGTGTATTTGCATATTGGCTTTTTCGCGCTCTAGCTTCGCAACGGAGCGTTTTCAGGGAAAACCGTTCGAAAGTTCTGACCTTCATTGCCCGTTCAGTAGGTGGTATCGTTTTGTGAGACGAACGAACACTCGAGAAGTGAGATGACGAGTAACAGACAGACAGACACACAGACACACAGACCCAAGTACTGTAACCATCGCTGCGCATGCGCGCCGAAGGTTAATGATGGGCTGGGCTATGTGTGTGCTTTTATTCGCGCTCCACGCTAGTTGGTCGCGGAGAGTACTACACTATAAGAATTAGATAGCATGCGGGAGTCGATAGACGGCCTTTGTGGTGACTTATTTACCTCCGAGCAAGCAGATCGGTCGAGGTAAGCTGGTGCGATTATACATACTTCTTGGCTTTTTCGGTTGTTCTTACGGCGTATCTTTCGAACGCAGTCGTTTCAGGAACATCGCCATTTTTTCAGGTTCGCGCGCGTTGTTCTGAAGACGTTGGTATCGTTCATGGGCCGCTCCGTGCGAGAATAGCTGCTGACAGACAGACAGACACAGACAGACAGACGGACACTCACAGACAGACACACACATTTTTAAAACCCTTGGCGAACTGCCCATGCGGAGTACCCCTAATTGATGGAGTGGTTGGTCTCGTTAGTAGCTTGCGTAGAGTCTGACATGGGCGAGCTACAGTAGTAGATAGCATGCGGGAATCCATACATGACCTTCGTTGTGACTTCCTGTGCCTTCAATGACAAGGTCGAGGTAATATTAGCTTGTTCACCTGGTTTTCACGCCATAACTTTAGAACGCAGTATTAATTTTTATGAAAATCACCTTTTTAAATTAAAATCAAGCCAGTGTAGCACTGAACCTGTTAATATCGCTCTTAACTGGAGGTTGCTTAAAACCCAGGAGAAAAATGAGTGAAAACAAGTGGAGAAATTGTTTGAAGGGGGGATGTAGGGATATCACCTCAAGGAAATCAGGGAAATAGGAGAGATGCACACCTATAGACAGAACGTCATTCATTCCTATAATCAAAAGCACTAAAGTGCAAACCCTCGGCGAACTGCGCATGCGCGACATCGCTAATGGGCTATGCGTTTCTCGTGGTCTCCTGCTGGATAGTAGCTGACGGAGAGTCGGACACGGGCAAGCTACAGTAGTAGATATATAGCATGCGGGAGTCGATACACGCCCTTCGTTGTGACATCTTGTACCTTCAAGATACACAGAGCAAGTCGAGGTAAGCCTGTGCCAATTAGCATATTACCTTGTTCACTTGGTTTTCACGCCATAACTTTAGAACACAGTATTTTTATGAAAATCACCATTTTTAAAATCAAACCAGCGTAGCGCTGAACCTGTTGGTTTCGCTTTTTGGTCGATTTCTTGCGTGTGGTGGCAGAAAACGTGGTAACAGACAGACAGACAGATAGACACACTTACGAACCAAGTACTGTAACCCTTGCTGCGCATGTGCACTGAGGGTTAACAAGTTCATAGGACTAGCACACAACATCAGCAGTGTCATTAAACTGTACGTGACACACTCACCCACAGGAGAATATAGTGGCCATGTTTCAGGGATCTGCATTGTAAATGACACACCATTTACTTTTAGAGTCAGTTATTGTTGCTTGTAGCTACCTGCACAGCTGGATAATATACAACGTACCTTGTTATGCAGCTTCAAATCCGGTCTCTTTCTTGCCAAAACGTCTTCGCTTACTTGTTCCATATCACAAGCCAACCACAACTCCGTTAGTGATGTGTTATTCTCTAGACCTACATACAATCCTCTCACTCCATCATCTCCTAGTTCATTGTTAGACAAGTCTAGATACCTCAGAGTCTTGTTTCTAGCTAATGCTGCACCTAACTCCACACCTCCACTGTCTGAACTTCACACCTTTCAAGATCAAGTCTTTGCAGTGAACAGTTTTTCTGTAGCATTGTTGCGAACAGCATGAACATTATCGTCTGGTTATCACTCAATTTCAATTCCTTCAGTGTATGATTGTCAACAGTCCAGTTACTATTTTTCCAAGTCCGTCACTAGTCAGATTACAGAGGTAAGGACCAACTTCTCTATCCGACAGTGTACAGGTTCTCTAGCAGCTGTCCCAGATGCACAGAGTGAAGGTTGGTCAGTTGACAGCCCACATATCAGTTTTCCTCATTGAGCTATTGATACTCAAAAGCTTTGCATAGTGTGTTGATACTTTTAACTGAGATTTTAGTGCCTCTGATCTTCAGCTCTTCCAAACTTGAACTTGATTGGATGTAGCTTGCAAGACATTCAAAGTCAGGATCACTTATACTAGTTCCAGACATGTCCAGTTTTGTTAGTTTGCTGCTGTGAAGAGATGACACTAGCTTTACAGCGTCTCCATTTCCAATTTCTAGATTTCCACTCAGGTCTAGTATCGCAAGACATGACATCCTCTGAATACCTTCAGCTAGACACTCGCAGCCTCTTCTGCTAGCTTGCTGCTAGAAAAATCGAGTTGTTCGATAGATTGCAGTAATGGTCGAGGAATAGTCAGAAAATGCCTGATGCCTTCATCTGTGATAGAGCCCATTTCTTGAATGAAGCTAAAACCAATTGACTGGAGATGTCAGTCTCAGGACAGTTGATGATTGCAGCCTTACTGAGAAACTCCAGAGCCACATCATCAAGCAGAGTGAAGTAAATGTTCCATGTACAGTTGGAGTGAGCTAGACAGTATCCTGCCACAACGTAGTCAGTGATAGTTGCGGAGTAGGACAGGCTCAGTTCTCTCTCACCAGAGCCCAAGACATTTGTAAGGACTGACTGGTTCTGGGACTCATACAGCCACCGGTACAAGGCGGCTGCATCTTTACTCAGCAGGTCTGAGAGAATCCCTACTGGAAATGTCTCTAGCTTATCGATTCCGGCCAGGAATTGGAATGTCGTTTCGTATTGTTTTGCCTCATAAAAGGACCTGCCACGTATAGTCTTTTCATTATAAGACACTTAGTGTCAATGATAGTCATCAGTTGCTGAGGTTGTAGATGTGAGAGGTGAAGAGCTGCAAGGTACTCCTGGACTGTGTAGTGCAGGAAATTGTAGGAGACCCTGTCATCTTCCTCGTCATAAACCTGAGGGACAGTCTGCAGGAGACCCAGGGTGGACACTCCTTCAGGAATACTGGAAAACGCTATAATCTGTTGGGACACTCCTTCATAAGCCAGGCCACACAGTCGCTGAAAGTCTCTCAGCACTCTCTCTGGAAGATCAGCCAATGTCCTCACATTTATGTTCATGCAACTGTACTCAGGGTGCTCTGAGAGGTGTTGTTCCAGTTTCAAGAGGACATAGGCAGAGTAGAGTCCAGTGACGGTGGTCGGAGGATTGTGCGGGGAAGACTTGAATACTTGTTCTACAATGGCAGCACTGAGTGGGGTGTACATGGCTGCACGTATCATGGGATTGGACTCAATGAACTCCGAAAAGTTGAATCCTGAATCAGAACTTGTCTGAGAATCAATCATTACTGTGATTTCATTCTGAACTTCCTCCTTTGCCAGTGCCAGTAGCTCCTTGTGCTGTGAGAGTCTGTCTCCCACTGTCTCCAGCAGATCTCTAGCAGCCCATGGTAGGCTTGTGATGAAGATGGTGGCAGCAGGTAGCTGGATGCCTTGGATCAGTTCAGTAAAGAGAGAGTCTGACCTCAGATCACCAGGCAACTCGTCCCAGGCCTCCAGCCAAATCAGACATCCAGCACCACCACTCTCTGCAACTCTTCTGCTCACTTCCTCTCTCACTTGTCCTCTGCTGTGTCGGAAGAGGCTGGAGAGGGAGCGGATTTGTCTGACGTTGTCGTCTCTGAGGGGCAGCAGTAGCACAATGGAGTAGGCCTGCAGCAGCTTGCCCTCTGCCCACTGCCGGCACTGGTGCCAGGCAAACGTGGTCTTGCCAACTCCCGGAGCCCCTTCTATCAGGACCACCTGTGGCGGAGAGCCGTCCCCCATCACTCCCAGCTGACTCAACTCCATGGTCGTCTTCTTGTAGACCACGTCGTCCATGTCTCCTCGCAGGCTCTCTCTAGTGAACCTGTCCATGTCTGATGGGGAGAGGCTCTGTTTCTCAATCCTGGCCAGACGGAATGGGAGCAGGGGTTTGGGTTTGGAGTCAGAGAGAGGCTGGAGGGGGCTCCAGGATGTGTACAGCTGCTTCAAGAGAGAGGTGTACTGCAGTAGTGGAGCCTCATAGCAGACTACACCATCTACTGTAATGGTCTCTATCTCCATGTCCACAAACTCCTTTGCCTCGGTTTTTCTGATAAATGTTTGTAAGTGATCCACAAGAGAAAGGGGGACACAGAATGTTACTGTTAAGCATCCTTTTTTGGCTTTATCAAGAGTCAGAAGGAAATTTGGCAGGAAGAGTTTAGTAGCTAGCTTTCCTTTGAGGTTATCCAAGTCTTGTAGCGTGCAGGTTTCCCAGTTTTTATGAGCCTTAATCTCAATGAATTTTTGGAGATGCTCCACTGGAGGTTGACATTCATGCTTCTGCCAGCATTCCATGAAGTCACAAATCTGTGTACACTTAAAGAAGTGGCGGATTTTGATTGTGTACTCGTCCATGCGTCTTTGCAATTCTTTGTTTCCAAATTTGTTTAGAATATGTTGCAATAACCCATGATTAAGAAAATTCAAGTAGCAGTTAAGCTCCACCAAGACATCAATGACAGTGTGCTTGTTTTGAATAATCTCCTTCAGATAGTCCATGTGGTGTTCGACCTCTCCAACTCTGAGCGAAGTCAGTCTGTATTTGAAGGTGTCCACAGATTGCGTCATCACTGACTCACACACGTCATCTTTCAGCTCTAGAAACTCCTTTTCTAGCGATTCCATTTCCGACCTTACTTTTGCAAGAGCGTAAAGCACAGAGCTGTTTTTATCTTCATCTGAACTTGAAACAGCGTTCCGGTTGGGGAAGAATTCTCTGATCCTTTGTGCTACATCTCTCCTGTTAATAACGGGAGAGGTGAGAGCATCAACCATGATTTTGCAAGGTGGGAGGAGAGGGATCCGTCCTGGAGAGCCAGACTGACAACATTTGTTGAAGACACCTATTGGTATTGTGCGGGTATTCAGTCTCAATAGCATCAAGATCAGATGTTTTCATTCTTAACTGGACTCCGAGAGCATACCACTCTGCCCTCACTTCATGAAGTTCTTTTGTTAGTGCTGCAAGGTCGTCTGTAACCAGCGTATCTGTGAATAAATGATAGTTGACATGAACTAAGTATACTCACAGCTTGATATTCAACAGCAATAACCATGACGGCTCTTTTACATTTCACCTATTAGTTTATCAAACCTCCCATTCTTACTGACATAACTATTAATGCTGTGGTTATGTTGTGTATAGCCTCGGCGCGCATGCGCAGCGAGGGTTACAGTACTTGGTCTGTCCGTCCGTCGTTACCACGTTTTCTGCCACCACGCGCAACAAACAGGTAAAATAGCGACACCACTGCCTTCATTTTAAAAAAATGGCGATTTTCGTAAGAGTGCTGCGTTCGAGAGTTATGTCCTGAAAACCAAGTGAATGCACTAAAGTGCAAACCTCGGGGAACTGCGCATGCACGATACTGCTAATTGATGGGCTGGGCTATTTGTGTGCGTACTCATGGTCTCCCGCTAGTAACTCGCGGAGAATCTGACACGGGCTAGTTACAGTAGTAGATAGGATGCGGGAGTCGATACATGCCATTCTTCGTGACTTCCTGAGCCCCCAAAGCACACAGAGCGAGCGGATCTGGTCGCGGTAAGCCCAGTGCGATTATGCCTATTGGCTTTTTCGCTTGTTTTCACGGCATATCTCTCGAACGCAGCCCTTATAGTTTTCAGGTTCTGAAGCCGGTGGTATCGCTAATGGGCCGCCTCGTAGCCTGTAGTGCCAGAATAAGCGTCGACACACACACACACAGACAGACAGTACAGACAGACAAACCAACTACCGTAACCCTCGCTGCGCATGCCAATATGCAAATTAGCACAGTCGACCGTTGCTCTGTGTACCTTGGAGGCACATGAAATCACAACCAATGGCGTGTACGACTCCCGCATGCTATCTACTACAGTAACTTAGCCCGTGTCAGATTCTCCGCGAGCTACTCTAGCGGGAGACCACGAGTAAACGCATTCTAATAGCCCAGCCCACCCATTTAGGGGTATCGCGCATGCGCAGTTCGCCGAGGGTTTGCACTTCAGTGGTGACGCCACGGGTAAGCATAAATTGATGTATAACCTAGCCATATATAAACTTAGTGGCATATTATGCCCGTGAAGGGTTAAGGTTCACATTACCAGGGCCAGGGTTTCGTTCCACATCCCCAGCCATCATGAGCAGCATCTGATTCACAAACACTATCAATGTTATCTCACTCAGACCAGGTCTCTTTCTGTTAGAGAACATCAGAGACACTAGGTAGCCCGCACCCTCTGTCACTGAAGAGGAGAGACACACATCAAACATACTCTTCATTGTCTGCAGTCAACTAACCGTGATAGTGGAGTTGGAGTATGTGTCCACACAGTAAGATCACCAGTTGAGACACAAATGACGTGGCCAGCACAGCGCTGGGCCTTGATTTCATTGCCAGCACCCGAGTCGTTCCCCTGCTAGCCGACCGACTGACATGCACACTGCCTTCCTTCGCCACCTCTTCCGTCTTCTCCTGTGCCTGCTCCAGACCAGACCGGACAAGCTGTGCTATGGTCACCAACAAAACCACACATCCTTTGTAGGCCACAGGATCACTGGCCTTCAGCCACTTCTTCCAGTGGGGACCAATGGGACTGCTTGGCTTGGGAGCTGCAGACCTAGCCATTGCCCCTACAGCTGCCCTCCACTGTTCCACACTCACTGGCATGACTCTCAGTGGGGGAGTGGAGGTGGTGTTCCAGTAAAATACAAGACCAGATGAAGATCAGATGTTCAATGAGAGAGATGAGGGGAAGGTGGTCAAGGAGGTGTGGTTGCAGAAGTGAAGAAAATACGAAGTTCAGTTTTTAAATGTCGATTGAATTGAGCTCAGATCTAGAGGTCCGGTTATGTAGCGAACGTATAAAAATTCCTGTTATGGGAAACGGAGAGACAAAATTCACACACATACTATTATTCAACAGTCTTCTTCATCATGTAAGGTAAATGAAAAACACAGTGGCATGAAATATTCATCCGAATTACGACAATTACATTTCATTGTGCTGAATAAAATCCAAGTGAAAGGAGTGTCAACGAAGAATGAATGTATCAGTGCATGTCCTTCTGTCAAGGCACAACAAAAGTTCCAAAATGCAAACTCAATATTTATACACCCTTCAATATCGGGTAAAGTCTGTTCCGCTATCAATAAGGCTTTCTTCAGCAAGCTGAAGGGATCGCACAATATCATTTTACAAAGGTTTATAGGAGTGGCTCCTAACGTCATGGATCAGGCCGGTGTGGCTTCTTAATTTCCTGATAACCTATCAATACTTAGATCACCCTGAACTAAAGAGTATTATTAATGCAGTGTAGCCATTATACTCCTAAATATCATCTACTGATTATCATGAAAAAGTGTCCAAATGATTTCTCAAAAAGGTGTCTCACAATACTCAATCATCAATACCCCTCAAAATGGATCAATCTATGATCATAAATTGGAAGGGGGTGGATTTATGAATTAATCTACAAAAAACTACACATAGCAATTCTAACATTTGTTATGAGTGTGTTATGCCAGTCTTGTGGCCACAATAATTATTATGCATTTTCTATGAGTTCCCTTTCAACTCTCCTCCAGAGTTAAAACCTGAATGTGCATGTGCAAAATGCATATTTTCCATGAGACTAACGTCTGCAATGTGAATAATCACTGGATTTCAAACAAAACTAGATGCCTAGTCAGAAGTGTATGCGATAGACATATTATATAATGATTGGAAGTTCAGACATTTCTGCAAAGAGGACTGGGTTGCTCTTAAACTCATGTTTGAGTAGTTGGCATGGCACCGGTCGAATCTCACATGCATATATACAAAACGCTTCCAAAAAGAAAGTTGGTCCGCGAAAAGGCGATTCTGATTCAACTGCTGGCGGTTCAGAGGCTAGCGAAACGCCTTGTCAGGGTGCAAGAAACTCCTCTGCAATGTGTGATGTTTGTGACCAGACGATAGTCGACAGCAAAGAGCAGGCTCCTCTCTGCGACGGTGCTCGTAAGCTAGTGGTTCAACATCAGCGATATTGCGCTGGTGTTCGCGCTCCTGGTTCAAGACGCCTCAGCACCTCATCGAACACGTTTTCAGTGCTACTCCTGCTATCAGGTTAGAGCATGTGACATCTGTGGACGAGCCTCGCAGCTAAATCTCCGAGTTGCAACGGAAGTGGTCAGCTAAAAAATGTGTAGTAAGAGGATATGATCTCAACACCCAGTACTCAGACGCGGCTCGCTTCGCCACAAACTCGAGATACACATCGAACATGAGGGTTGTCTCTGTCAGTGTGAACCCAGGTGCGGAACGCGAGTCTGTTCCAGGTATGAGGGTCATGCATGGGTCTGGGGAGGAGGTGGACAGCGTCGTAGAAGTGGAGGGCGAGGTAGAGGTGGGGATTGGTTAGGGAGAGCTAGCTTTCATGATAATGGTGAAAAAAGATCTGTCGAAAGTTTTGCTTGATGTCAGGGAAGTTCACGACCCTTGGAATCACGCACACAAGTCAAAGTTGAGGTGCCAGGAGGGTGTGGGGTACACTTAGTATTTGCTCTGCTAGAATACGTTCAAAATGGTTATTGGAAGAATATGTGCCAACGATACAGTACAAGTCAGAAGGAGACAGGAAATGCCTAACGGTTAAAGTGTTTTGGTGGTTCGTGCTCCATGATGACGAAGCAAAGTCTTCAAGCTATTGATGCAGTGGGAGCAAGTCAAGCTGCAAACGTCATGGAAGCTAGAACCATGTTTTCGCCTGAGCCCTGCACCACCTGTGCAACCACCAGCGCCACCATCTGGCAGTTCCATTGGTGTTGTTGGTGCCCCTGTTTCTGAAACCTTGACCACAGCCGGAGTGCTATCCACAACACCAGTCCTTTCAACATCACCTCAACCTGCATCGTCACAACGCCCAAGCTTCAACATCGCCACAAACCCAATGTTCTACACCACCACAACTCAACACCCCAGTTACCTCTGATGCTTCCAATGTTCCAAATGGAGGAAATATGTCTTTTTTGCAGTAGCTGGAGCATACCCGACTCCAAAAAATTGCAGCAGTGAATTGAACATTGTCTACTACAATGCACGTAGTAGCATACTGCCAAAAATTGATGAATTGAGAGCTATAACTTAAACAGAATCTCCAGATGTGATTGCAGTGTTGAAACATGGCTGTTCAAATGATATTCAGACATGAACTTGTGATCCAGTTAAAGATTTTTAGACGTGACAGAGATCGTCATGGTGGAGGTGTGTTGATGTATGTACATTTTTCTTTTGCTGTTGATTTATGTAATAGTGTAAACGTGATATTGAGTTGTTTGACTGTTTCAGTTTGTCCTCCTAAATCTACTCTTAAATTTTGCGTTGCTCTGTATTACGACCTCCCTCTGCTTCTGTTAAGTGTTTTGACTCTTATCTAAAAATCTTGCAATCTTAACCCTTCTTCATTCAATTATTCGTTCTAATTGGTGACTTCAATGTAAATTATTTTGTACTACTTCTTTCCTTTACACACATTTAATGTACTGTCTATCTCCATAATCTTACACTACTACTTACTAAACTCCACTTACTACGACTACTACTACTCCTTTACCTTTGTACTCTTACTACTCACTACTACTACTAACTCTTCCTACTCTACTCAAGTTTTGTGGCAATCTAGTACTCGTAACACCCCATCTGGTTCGCTCGTCACTGATTGATTTGATTTTTATATCACTCAATGTCATTTGTACACTGTTCTGCTCTTCTTCCACCTCTGGGGACTCAGACCATAGTGGTCTTCAGCTGTGGTAAAGGGGAGGTGTTTTGAAAGAGAAGTCAAGGAAAGAAACGTCCTTGTGTGAACTACAGCCAAGGTGACTATATGAACGCAGGCGTAGCAATGATGACAGTTTGATGGGATTCATTGTTTCCTGGTGAATATCTCGTTTACTGTACAACAATGGCCAAGCCAATTGTTTTTGCATATAATGTAAACAGTGCACAATTCCCAGAGAACTCCGCATTCAATGCCGTCTGCCATGGTTAACTAAAGCACTCATGAGATTAATACGAAAAATCGTGTTTACGGGCTTGGAAAGAGACTGGCAGTACGCATACAGTGTACGCAGCAAATACAAATCAG